CATACATGGGCACATGCGAGGGCACAGTACAGTCAGTACTCGGTACGAAGTATTCCCATTTGGCAATGGACGTACGTCTGTCTCAGTTGGGCGTTCGCCGCGGCATAAGAGCAGGCAAGGCAAAACAGAGGGAGGCAGAATGGAAGAGGGCTGTCAGATGTCACAAAGCTGGATGTCAAATGACGAAGGTCAAGGCGAGATCAAGCACGACGCGAGCATGACAGGAGACCACACGAAACGATACGATATAGCACGACAAGAAATGACTGTGCGGTGGTCCGGGCCACGGTCGCGTCTGGAGAAGGGCCCGGCTAGGCATGGAGAATCCAGGGCAAGGGCATTCAGACTTTGCATGGGGATGGGCACGCACACGCACACAGGAAGAACACAGGCGACAGGGCAGGGTAGGGCAGGGGGGCTGGAAACATGGAAGCGGGCAGGCTGTTGAGCATTGATCAGGAGTTGATTCAGCTCCGTGGTGTTGCGCAATCCATCCAACCAAGATTGGCACCAGGCACTCGGGGATAAGCCACAGGTCCAGATTCAAGCTCTCACGCGCATTCCTGGGGTGCGTCGACAGTACAGTACAGTCAAGTCAACGACAGCAAAGGAAGGGCTCACTCACCGTCTCTCATGTCACCCTCTCTACTCACACATCCTGTCTGCTCTGCTCCCCTCCCAGCGGAACCACCGAATCTCTGGTCAACCAATCCGCAAACGCAGGTCAAGATTGGATTTGTGATGAATTCCCTGCCACCCATGGCCGCCGAGCGATTTGGCAGTGGCGGGTTTCGTTTCTTTTCCTGGTGAATGGAAGCGATGTTGTCTGTGTCTGGTGCAGGGATGAGGACGTGTCGGTATAGAGGCCTCTCTCCCTCTGTTTTCCCTCCATCCCATGCTACAGTAACTATGTTTGTGGTCCCATTGACATGACTTGAGAGTCTTTCTTGACTTGTCATGAGCGAGGGTTTGGTTTGTGGTCCCGCCTCCGAATATTTTCGGTCCCCTGTTCGTGTCGAGGGGCAGGGCAGGGCAGGGCAGAGTGGACGCGAGGGCAAAACACCATGCTGAGTCGCCTCAACACCCCCGTGAAGATGAAAATTTTGGACGGGATGACTTCGGAAACATGATACAGGATGGGAGAGAGTGTCCGACGTTGAACGTTCTGGGTCCCTCAGCTCTCGTCAAAGGCTGTTCTGGAACTCGAATGTTTAGCTCGCCGCTAGGTCGAGAATCGGCGAAACCGTTCTTGGTCAGCACTCGCTAACTCGGCCAGGTCAACTCGTCCGACTCCAGCAGACAAGATAGCGCTATTGTCGGGGCCTCTCGCGTCCAGAGGATGTCATCGGGGTACAGAATTCCATTCTCGTCGCTTGCGAATTTCAATCGAGATTGGGATAGCTTGGGCAGACAGAGCGTGCGACTCGATGCGCCCGTCCAACCGCCCGCCGTGTCATGCTCGTCCCAACTATGCCCAACAAAATCGAATCCATTCCTTGGCCAGGGGCAACGGCGGGTCATGCCGATCTTGATCCTCATGGCAGCACTCAATCCTCTACCCTGGAGTTGCTTCTTTAATGCCATTTTTTTCAAGTGAATGTTGTGGATTGTCTTGTCTTGTCTGTTCTGACAGTGCCTGTGTAACTCTTGGTTGATATGTCGAGTCTGCACCTCGTTGTCGCAACTCGTTTGATATTGGTACTTTCCACGACCTCTACCTCGGACTTGTAGGGAGTCTATCCTATAGGTTGATGGATGTTGGATTGGGTCACTGATATATGCAGTACCTTCCATACCATCACTGCGTGCTGCAAATATTCACACCCCGTGTACGAGTGTGTTATTGCCATGCAGTGGGTGAGATCCTGTCATGTTGATGACGATCTTCGCAGTCCCCTCACTCGACGGGGCAGAGGGCCCATTAGCCCCCCCAAGCGGATCGTCAAAGGTCCCTCCGATGACCAGAGAGGCACTACTGCACATTCTCTGTACGGTGTTGATACCGGGAAGGAGGCATATGGGCAATTCAGACCTTCCAGGCCCTCGGTCTATCAGACATTGAAATGTCAAGTCATCGACGATCAACCCCCCGAGCCCAAATCCGTCCACCGGGTTCATCACGCGAACCAACGCACAAGGGGCCGGGTCTTTACGAGACGCAATATCAATAGCACGAGAATCCGATGTCCCTTCCGGAATGGAAGACATCCACGATGATGAACTGCCCCCCCTGACAGCAGCAGAGTAGACACCCCCCTGGATATCAAAGCTGGCATGGAGATGAGGGACTAGAACAAAGATTCCCAGGGGCGGCGAGGACCTCGACACGCATCCGCATCGAAGCTGAGAAGAGCGTCAACTAGCGTGCCGGCAATGGGGCCCGTGATTCAATAGCCTCGAAGACCTGGGCAGCTGTTGCCGTGGGCACCAGCTCTGCCCAGAGGCTTGATGGGAAATTCGACCCTGAGCTGAGGGCCCTGCTTATTGCCCAGATGGCGAAGTGTTAGCTCCGCAGTGCCGCGCCTGATGCCACGGAGCAGGATTTGCGAGTGCAGACACCTGGATGACCGGCCCCGTCTAGGGAGCCGCAAGCGCATCGAGGATCGCTGCTAAACTCATAGTTGATTTGTAGTGAACCGCAGCTATTCCCATGAAAGAAATCGATATGATAACCAAGCTCATGTTGAGCAGTAGCTTCTGTACTACGGAGTATGTGGGTTTGTGGGTTTGAGGGGAACATTGAGTCCTCTCGTCCACCCATGAGTAGCAGGCATTCGACCTATATCCCCCTTTCCTGGGGGTATAGTGGCCGTTGTAGCGTGTCGATGACTTGGTCGTGCCATCCTGGAGACTAGAAGACTGGGGAAATCAGACGCGATGAGGAGTGAGAACTTGTAGGAGGGCGAACTTGGGGTTGGTGGTGAGCACCCCGAGTTGCACTCGCGCCGCCCGTCGACAACAGGAACACGTCGCGGCCGGCAGGAGGCTTCCTGTACGCCAGAAAAGCAATTCATAGAGACTTAGAGGTCCCCTAGTGATGGTCAGCACCTCTTGACGCCAAATCAAAGGTGTCTTCTGCCTGGTCAAGGCAGACTTGACCGCCAGAACCCGCAGTGACAAGTCCGCTAGCCAAGAACTTGGAGCAACATCGCTCCCTCGCAGCGTGATCTTTGCCGGCACTACCAAGGGGCATGGAGTAGCATCTTCCCCATCGCTCCGGAGCGTCCCCTCAAAGCTCCGTAAGCACATGATTCATCTGTGACTGCTTCAACACGTTTCTCGGATGCCTCTACTACACACAAACACCAAACGACAACCATGTAGGTTCTTGAAATCGCCATCTTGACCCCTTAACCGTGAAGTTGCAGCCCATCTCTACCTCGTCAGGAGGCCTACGATAGATTCCTTCCATCCTCTGAACTCGACGCTGCCCAACGAAGCGAACGACCCCTGACCGGACACCGACCTCGATTCTCCCTACAAGTTTTTGAACAAACGAGTGCTCATTACGAGTCGGTGAAGACGGGAACGATTCTTCCAACGCTGACGATCCAACACCGCGTAGTGCTGCCTTTCCTGCATCCCATTCAGCCGAACAGAATGCGGTGAGCGAGCCTGATTCCAACGGCGAACGTCCTCTACCGAACGAGTCGATACATGTCAAGCGAGACAGAATCACACGAGTCGGTATAGCGAACGTATAGATTATGATCCCCTTTCGAGCGAACCAGAGGCTAGGACTTTAACGGGGAGGAGTTCAAGATTCAGAACTTCACCCTCCTGAAGACCATCTGGAAAGGGAATAGACGATGCCGTATACCTTGATTATATCGCATCAATCCCAGTTCCACAACATGTAGAAGAGGCTCTGGTTTCTCGAAGAGGATTGGTAAAAGAGAGGCCCGGCTCTCCTTGGTTCTGGAACTCGAAGGAGAGAAGTTCTGGATCTAGAGCCTCTTGCCTCCGATGAAGTGGAAGTGGAAGATTCCGCACGCAATGATTAAGCTGTAGTGATTCTACTTCCACGACACGTTGAGAAAGATGGAAGTGTACGAGTCGTAACAATGCTCAAGACGCTGGTCGTTCTGGAGGACTGACACGGTAGAGGCCATCTCCACTGGGTGCTGACGCCTATACGGAACAAACTTCTGGATTTAGGGCGTCACGCCTTGATGAAGATGTCTGCTTGAAGAGGGGATGGGGAAATGCCGTGAATTAAGATGCCGTATATCCCGAATCAACCCCGATTCCACGATATCGCCGTCCCCGAGAGAGTGCGTCCGTATATCAAATCTCCTTACTCGCCAACTTCTTCAGACACTTCCCAAACACCATCTCCAAGATCAGAACGGGCATGTACAAAACTCTCCAACGTAGGGAGGATGCTCGCACGAGTCGACATACTCGACTCAAGAGGGAAAAAACTATAACGCGGAGAGGCGTCATTGTTTCTGCCCTGCGTCGACTCATAAAACACCCACCCGAATCCACCATGAGTTGCTCTACAAGATGCAAGGACGGGTTTCCAAATGGCCCGTGACCAAGAAAACGCCCGCTCAGATCGGCAGCAAGAGCCGACGATGCGGAAAATCAAACATGCAGGATCATCGGCACGAGAGTCAATCAAGCAGGGCGGCGAGTCAGTGTAAAACAAAGTGTGTGTGCCGTGGCTTCTAACTCTGCCCTGTCGAGTCAGTCAATCAACTACGACAACACGTGCCTCAAAGGTTGCCATTCAGCCCAGTCAGCCTCGGGAGCATAATCAAGACGAGTCATCTTTGCCCGTCGTGCTACAAGTTATGACAATGATGCGCACAGTAGATGCTGCCTCTGGCTATAGAGGAGAGTAGGTTCAATTCCACTCAGCGCCATTGGTATATCTGATGTAGCTCAGTTGCAGAGCCGCCAAACACAACACGTCAAGTCAAACACTATACGGGACAGATTAACCAAGGCCACATGGATGTGCGTACACATACGTAGGTAGTTGCAGGTGCTGTCAGGCTCTGTCATTTGTATCAACTACAATAGTCTATTGAACATTTGCCGCTCCAATTTCATCGAAATTGTCATCGACCTCCTTGACGACGGAAGGCCTCCAATACGATTATGTTTCCCCCGTATCTCGGTCGAGTCTTGTCATGCCTCTCGAGCCGATATCATCATCCCAATCTAGAGCCATTACCTCCGAGTAACAAACAAGACGAAGAAAAAATAGATAAAAAAAAAAGACTGCCACAAACAATGCGTCACCAAATTGGTCCGCAGGCAAACCGTGATCCAGACTCGCAAACTACGAGTCAAAGTCTAGTCGAACCACCTGTCCTCTAACTAACAAACGCCGTGGGTGTCATATACTTTTATGGGATACCATGATCCGGGAAGGGAATGCTAGGCATCTTGCTTGGTCCGTGTCGTGAACGAGGCCCAGGGAGGCCTCAAGATGGCAGGCTTTACCACCGACGGTTACCGATGGGCATGTTGTTGGCGTTGGCTGGAGGTCGAGTCAGCTCGATAGGCGTCTTGCTGCTTCAGCGTCGGCGATACCCACCTCTGCCACCGCCGCGGCCACGTCCCCATCCACCGTAACCGCGGCCACCGCCTCCGCCGTAGCGGGTCATCTCAACAAGACGGGGGTCGATCTGCTGCTTGGCCTCCTGGAGAACGTTGACGAGGTCACGAGCTTGCTTTTGGTCTGTAATGTGTCAGTACTAATATCAACAACAAGACAACTCAGGAATACTCACTGTCAGTGGTGAAAAAGGTAATGGCGGTACCCTTGGCACCGGCACGGCCAGTACGGCCAATTCGGTGAATGTAATCCTCCGAGTTGTTGGGGTAGTCGTAGTTCAACACATGAGTGATGTTGCGCACATCTTTGAGCAAGAATGGTTAGCAGGCGAAGAAGGGGTTTGTATAGCAACGTTCCAGTACTGGAGGTGAAGGTGGATAGCTAAGCATATTGGCAAGGCCATCTGTACTTCACTCCTGGCGGAAATGGGGCAATCCAAAGTGCGTCAAATGCCATCCTGGGTTATGCATGCAGTCACCGGGTCCCCGGGACGAGAAGCCTTGCTTGGTTTGGCCAGCAGCTTGATCAAGGGCAGTAAATGCCACCACCACGCTCATACCACACGGAAGCGGGAACGGTACAAGAGTGGAAACACGAGTATAGCAGCAGAGCAACGCAACGGCTACACAACGGATCAAGATCTCGTTTGGGTGAGAACCAAGTGGACACCATGGTTATCAGGCAGATTCGCACAGTCAAGAGAGCCCCTAAACACGAGAGTAAAGTACAGCAGGTGTTTTTGCTGGAAGTTGCCATGGAGGGGGAGGGGGGACTTGATACATACCAATACCACGCGAGGCCACGTCTGTGGCCACCATGATGGGGGACTTTGCCGACTTGAACTGGTCGAGAACCCAGTCACGTTCGTTCTGTTGCTTGTCACCGTGGATGGCTGTCAAATGTTAGCAAGAGTTGCAGTTTGAATCAGGACAGAGTAATACTCACAAAGCGCGGGCCAGCCATCCTGGCGGAGGAATCGGGTAATGTCATCGGCGACACGCTTTGTGCCAACAAAGATGAGGATCTTGTTCTCCTTGTTCTCCATCACCTTCTCAAGATGCTTGATCATGCGGTCACGCTTCTCCATGTCGGTGACAACCTCGACGATCTGAGTGATTCGGTGGTTGGCAGCGAGGTCCATGGAACCAATGTTGACCTGGATGAAGTCCTGGAGGAAGTCGGTAGCGAGGGCGCGAACCTCCTTGGGCCAGGTAGCAGACCACATCAGAGTCTGTCGATCGGGTCGGATCTGGCTGATGATCTTGCGGATCTGGGGCTCGAAACCCATGTCCAGCATGCGATCAGCCTCGTCGAGCACAAGGTAGGTGACTCGGCGAAGGTTGGTCTTGCCAGCCTCGAGCATATCAATCAGACGGCCAGGAGTGGCAATGCAGACCTCAACACCCCTGGAGAGGTCACGGATTTGAGGACCCTTGGGAACACCACCGTAGACGCAAGTGTTGCGGATGCGAGATGATCGACCGAACTTGTCGATTTCTTGCTTGATCTGGACAGCAAGCTCACGAGTGGGAGCGAGGACCAGGACAATAGGACCATCGCCGGGGGCGAGGAGGGGTTGGGCGTTGATGTGGACGATGGAAGGAAGGCAGTAGGTGAGGGTCTTTCCGGAACCGGTCTCGGCAATACCGACGACATCGCGACCCGAAAGAGCCATGGGCCAACCCTGGGACTGAATGGCGGTGGGAGCAGGGAAACCCTGGGCCTTGACCTCATCCATGACATATCGGGGGAAACCAGCCTCGTCAAAGGTCTCGACGGGCTTGGGGACGTTGCTGCCGGCAATCGTCATTTGGTGCTTACGACGGAAGGCCTCAACCTCGGCGTCGGTTCGGGTCGCGACGTCTTCGTGCTCCTTGTAGAAAGACTTCTCGAACTTGGGCATGGTGGCAACATCTGCAAAATTGTTAGTCGTGAAGAAAACATCAAAAGGACGACGAGAACATACCCCACTCCTGTTGCTTGAGGCCAGCGCCGAGGCCGCCCATGCGATCGCCGCCGCCGCCTCCGTAGCCGCCTCCTCCATAACCACCACCACCACCGCCGCCGCCATAGCCACCACCGTTACCATATCCGTTGTTTCGGCTGCGAGTTTTGTTAGCGATGAGTCGATGAAGAATGCGGTGAGGGCGCGGTGGTTGATGGATTGACGCGCAGCCGTCAGCCGCAAGGCAGCCGCGTCTTCGGACCAAACCACCAAACTTGCGCCGAAATCACAAGGAAAAAATGAACTCACCCTCCGTAACCACCACCACCGTGACCATTGCGGTCACCACGATCACTGCGATCACGGCCGTAGCCACCACCACCGTAGCCGCCGCCGCCGCGACCACCGCCGCCGTATCCGCCTTCGTAGCCAGACATCGTTTCAGGGAGGGAGAGGGTCGTTTGAACTGGGGAGGGAATCGTCTGCGAAATGGGGAAGAAAGGGTGTCAAGAATGACAAAGAGAGTCGCGTAGAACGCAAAGTTTTATCTCGATTAGTCGAGATGTTCCCTCTTGATGATGAAAGGAGTGCGCGCCTGAGGGTTGAGGATGATGGCGAAGGGAAGGGGGAATGTGAGGAAGGGTGAAAGTTTTAAGTGAGCCTTCGATTCCTTCGCGCCTGGTTTATTTTTTTTTTTCGCCGCTAAGAAAAAAAAAAGTTGTTGCACTGGCGCCTTGCGGCAAGTCCGCCGAGTGGGTCTAATCTGGAGAGTTCTATTGGTCCTTCGAGGTAATCAGCGGAGGCCTGTTGCTGACGTAATGCCCCACAGCGATCTCCCGAAGCTGGCTACCCTACGCCTTTGTCCTTGAAGACCAAGTTTAGAAATTTCTACAAGATAGTATGAAAGCAATAGCTCTGTGCGTTGTGTATTGGAGTGTAGATTATGTTGTGTCTTTATATAAACTTTCCCTTGATTGAAGCAGGGGCCTTTTCACCGGCGTGTGGTGCACAGCAGCTCTTTGTCCTCCTACTTTCCTCGCGCTCGATATTACGACCTCGACCTGAGAGCACACCACGTTGGGGATTCATTGTTTCACGCCACACCCAACAAGCCAGCCGGGAGATGAAAGACTCACCCAACTGGAAGTGTCGAGAACTATCCATAAGATAATATTCACTACCCGTGCACCACGTTGTTTTCCGAGACACTGGTAGCCTTACTCTGACGTCCCTCACTTGCCTCCCTCGAGACACAGTGATCTGGGCCTGGTTGAGTTAGACAGCAAGAAGGATATCAATAACGCACCACGGCAACATGTCAAAGGTAAGAAGCAATGCTTTTTATTCTAGTCTACTCGTCCATTTGCTCTCTCTTCCACTTGGCATCCAAAGCCTCCTCCATAGCCCCCTTGAACGCCACCACAAAGTCATAGCAGTCCTCAAAAGTATTGTACAGAGGTGCCGGAGCAACACGGATGACATTCGGCCTCCTCTCGTCAACCAATACCCCTCTCCTCTCTAGTCCGGCCATCACATCGTCTAGCAGCCCATCCGCAAGTAGTACGCTTATCTGCGCACCTCGTCGGTCCTCCTCGCTTGGCGTGATGATGCGCCAGTATCCTCCCATGTCCTCTGGTAGGCGGTATAGTTCCGAGACGAGGTAGGCTGTTAGCTTCCTGCTCTTGGCGCGAAGCGGGGCCAAGCCGCCAGCGAGGCCGAAGACTTCGAGGGAGGCGCAGAGTGAGGTTATGTCCAGGACAGAGGGGTTGCTGAGTTGGAAGCCTGCTGCTCCAGGGACAGGCTTGAAGCCTGACCTCATGGCGAAGCGGTTCTTCTTGTCGTTTCCCCACCACCCAGCGAGCCTCACGTTGTGCTTTCCATCATCGTCAACCTGTGTATGCCGCTCATGGACAAACAGGCCGCCGATGCAGCCTGGTCCGCCGTTGAGGTACTTGTAGGTGCACCAAGCGGCAGCATCGACGGACCAGTCGTGTAGCGAGAGTGGCACGTTCCCAACGGCGTGGGCGAGGTCCCAGATGACAAAGATGCCGCGTTCGCGAGCAAAGGCAGTCAGATGCGGGATATCGAGAAACTGGCCAGAATAGTATTGGATGCCAGGGAGGAGGAGGACGGCGGTGGTTGAGGCGTGTTCGGCGATGACGGACTCGACGTATTCGTTGGAGAGGATGTCTTCCGAGTTGGGAGGCTCGAGGGTGATCATGGAGTCTTCGGGACGGAGGCCATGATGGCGTATTTGCGTCTCGACGACATACTATCCCCAGTTAGAACCTCGACATCGTACTGTGAATTGGGAGACGAACGTGGTCACTGGGAAACGCCTTGCCCTCTATTATAATCTTATGGCGCCCCTTGATATCCGGCTTATAGAAAGCCGCCATCAGAAAATGCAGGTTCGCCGTCAGGGTCTGCATGACTGCCACCTCGCTGACCTGCGCCCCGACGATGGGCGCAATCATCTCGGCGGCGCGGGCATCGACATCGAGCCATGTCGGTAGTGGAGAGTCCTTGAGCGGCTTGAAGTGTCCCTGGACGCCCTGAGTGCGCCATGTCGCAAGGTACTGCTGGATGCGTTCGGCGGTGCGCTTGGGTTGGAGACCGAGCGAGTTGCCCACGAGGTAGATTGCCTTGTCATTGGCGTCTGAAGCAATTGGAAACGATTAGTGTCGAGGTAAGACGGATCGAGGCATTGGAAGGAACATCAACTTGCCCGTGGTGGTGTCAGGGGGTAGGGTGCTCCGTGCTACGTCGGCCTTGGAGGGGATGTTGAACTCATCGCGGAGGTGACGGAGAACGTCATCACGGTCAAGCTGGGCCGCGAGATCCCGGCCAAAGAGCCTAGACTGGTCACTCATGGCCAAGGTAGGGACGCGACAAGTGCTAGATCAGGAAGTTGTCTCGCAATTGACTCGGCGTCTGTCTCTTTGTCTAGCAGCGATTTCCTTCTTCCCCACGTCGTTGGGAGCAGGCATGCTCCGCACATCGGCACGACGCGGGGACCTATTGCCCCGCAGTCTGGATCCCGGACCCCCGAACTACGCCCGTCCCCGGCAAACGGCTTCTCATGACGAAAATAGCATGGGGAAGCGGACGCTCGGAATGGGTTCACATGCTATCTTGTGTCACCATGGGCACTGACCTTAAATTCGGGTGGATTAGGCATCATATGCTCGGCATTGGCTGGTATTGCATGTGTCTTATCGTAAAGGCACCCCTTTGAAGGCGTCCCGGATCTAGACATCACCAGCCTCTTTGTCCAGGATATGGATTCATGTTGATTGGTGTTTTTAAACTCATCTCCCACCCCCCTTTGCTTTTCCGCCCGCTCTAGCTATGTCGTACAAGGGTTTCTCTCCATACAATCCCATCTATATCCGTGAACAAAGAAAAAAGTGTAAACAAAAAAGACCAACTGAAGGTTTACAGAGTGAAGCATCCTGGCCCAAGCCCGAGTCTAATCAGACGTCTATTAGTCCAGCCCAATCGGGTTCACAGACCCATGCACAATGCTCCAAGTACACCCTCCCAAGAACAGATCGTCGCGGGCTGCATAAGCCTCGAGCTCTTCCAAGGCTCCTGGCCAACCGCAGCCCGTTTCAGGGTATCGAACCTCATTGCGTAACAGTGTTATGTCGATCGAGGGTTTACTCGCGAGAGACATCACGGCCGAAGGCCTTGGACTTGAGCCAGTCCACAGCGACAAGGACACGATTCCGGGCTGAAAGTCAAAAGTTAGCTTTGCCGCCATATCTGGCTTGGGTATTCAGGAAACTTACTGCTGAAGCACATGGAGAGGTAGGCACTCCGCCAGAACAGGTAGGTCAGGCTACCACCACTGGCAATGTTGCCGTTGAACCACGGCACATCGGCGACAGCCTTCTCGCTGCCAATGTAGGCCAGACTGCCCTGGTGAGAGTACCTGAAGGGCTTGACGTCCTTGATGCGGCGGAGCTGCTTCTCCAGAGTCTCAATCTCCTGGGCGGTCTCGGCCGAGTTACCCTGCTTGAGGTTCAAGCTGCTGCTGAGCTCCTTGATGCGGCTCTCGTGAGACTCGGTCTTGGCCATGTTGTTGAAGAGACGGGCCAAGAAAGAACCCTCCTGGGAAGCGACCTGGGCGGTGGGGGCATAGCCGGCGACGGCGCAGTCACCAACAGCCCAGATGTCACGAGTGCCCTGGACAACCAGGTACTCGTTAACGGCCAGACCACGGCGCGACTCCTTCTGAGCGGGAACCTTGCCCATGAGGTCCCGGACAATGGGGCGGACGGCGTTGCCAGTGGCCCAGACGAGCAGACCGTAGGGGATACGGAGGGTCTGCTTCTTGCCGTCGGGGCCAACACACTCAGCTTCGACAAACTCCTCAGTGACGCGCTTGACCATGGTCTTGAGCTTGATGTCAATGTTCTCCTCGCGTAGCGTGTTCTCGGTGTACTCAATCAGCTGCTTGGAGAAGGAGGGGAGAACGTTGGGCAGAGCCTCAATGAGGGTGACCTTGAAGCGGTGGCTGATCTCGGGAATCAGCTTCTTGATGTCGTCCTCGAAGAAGTCGCGCAGCTCTCCAGCGAACTCGACACCAGTAGGGCCACCACCAACCACAACCATGTGCATGAGGCGGTCAATCTCCTCCTGGGACTGGCCCTTGAAAGAAGCGCGCTCAACGCAGTCCATGATCTTCTTGCGGATCAGCTGGGCGTCGCCAATCTCCTTGAGGAAGCAGCTGTTCTCACGGACACCGGGAATGCCAAAGGTGGCGTTCTCGGCGCCAACACCAATCACGAGCATGTCATAAGGGATCTCAGTCTCAGAGTGAGGACCCTTGCCCTCGGTGTTGTCCTTGATCCTGACAACCTTGCGGTCAGGGTCAACGGAGGAAGCCTCAGCTTCGTAGTACTTAACGGCACCCTTCTTGTGGCGGAGGATGGTGCGAACAGGCTCCATGATGGAGCGGTGCTCAATGAGACCCGTGGTGCACGAAGGCAGCAGGGGAGTGAAGAGGAAGTAGTTGCGGGGAGAGACGACGATGACATTGTAGTTCTCGGTGTCGAGGTTCTTGAGGAGACCGACGGAGCCCCAACCAGATCCTAGAAGAGAAATTGCGTCAGTGACTCAATTCGGGATATCGGGGTAGCTGTGTGCGCGCTCTTTTACTTACCGAGCACAACAAGGGTCTTCTTGGAGGGATCAGGCTGGAATTGCTCCTGGGGATGACGGTCGTCGTAGACAACCCAGCAGGTGTAGGCAACGGCAGCGCCAAAGGAGAGGTAGGTGAACCGCCAAGTCCATCGCAGGGTCCTTCGCAGCTTGCCAGGCCTGGGCTTGGGCTTGGGAGCCTCGCTGGCGTAGGCTCTTCGGAAGGCGATGCGACCAGAGTTGCTCAGCTTCATGGAAACAGAAGGTCGAGTGGAGGCCTTGGAGACGGTGGAGAGGGTGCGAGTCGCAATGCGACTGCTGGGGGCCATCTGGCCGACCCGGGAGAGGGTCATCATGGCTCGCGAGGAGGAAGCCATTGTGAGGGTCTGGAGGGGGAGAGAAAGCTCAATTGAGAGCAATTAGGAGAATAGAGGATAGAGAAGAGAAGAGGAGGAGTAGGAGAGAGACAAGAGAGGGGGTCTCT